TCACAAGTTCAAAGCCAGCCTGGGCAATTTAGGAAGGCCCTGTCTTAAAAACAAAACAAAACAGGGGCCAGGGATTTAACTCAGTGGCTTACCTCACAAGTACAAGGTCCTGAGTTTGATCCCAGGTACGAAAACAGAAACAAAAAACCCCAAAACAAAACAGGGGCCAGGGGTGTAGCTCAGTGATGCTGGGCCTGCCTGGCGAGAGCAAGTCCTGAGTTCAATCTCCAGTACTGGAAAACAAAACAAAACAACAAAATGAAACAAAACAAAAAAAAACAGAAAAACCTGTAAGTCTGATCCCCTCCCTGCCTGCCGGCACTCAAGGCTGAGACAGAAGCTCCTTTAAGACCTTTACTACAACTCCACCATTTACTGCTTTTGAAAAGGTGTTGGCTGGAAATTAACATCCGTGTTTTGACGTGCATTGCTTTGATTACACAAAGGTAAACACTCTTTTGTACATCTGGCTACTTGCATTTCTTGCCTGGATTTTCTATGCCTGTCTGTCAGGCAAGAGCTTTTTAAGTGGTTTTTATTTCATGGCAGGATAAAAGTCTGCACGCATACAGCCCTTGGGTCTGCTCAGACTTCGCCATCGCTGTCTTCATCACTCAGACCACAGGGAAAGTGGGGCCTTTCTTGAGAACAGAGAGTGTAGTACTGGAGGGAAGTGATTACTGACTGGTGGTGTGTGGTGTTACGGGCCTGTGCTGCGCCCCGGACTTGCTCTTTGTCCCTCGCAGCCGCCCTTCCCGCCAAGACTGTCCCCACTGCGCACCCAGACGTGGGGTTCAGAGAGGGTCTCCGGCGCGGCGAGGGGGGCTGAGATTCCGGCTCGGGTGCAGGGGTCCGAGGTCGGAGAGGGGTTGCAGGGGGAAGTCCCCAGCTCCCCGCCCCAGCCTGCGCCCTCTGCTGCCCCAGATGGGAAGCCGATCTCCACGGACGTCATTGTCCTGGGCCGCACCAACCTTCTCATCACCAGTGCGCAGCCCCGCCACTCGGGCGTGTACGTGTGCTGCGCCAACAAGCCCCGCACGCGTGACTTCGCCACGGCCGCCGCCGAGCTCCGCGTGCTGGGTGAGGTGGGGAGGAGGAGGGCGCAGGGGTGCGGGAGGCCGGGATGGAGCGGCCGAGGCTGGGAAGCCAGGAGCGGGCAGGGAACAGACAAGAGGACAGCCAGGAGTGCGACAAGAGGACGAGGTCGCGGGAGGAGGCCTCAGCGAGGCGCATGGAGGGGTGATAGGTGTGAGGGAGGACGAGACCTAGGGAACGAGGTCGAGAGGGGCCGAGTTTTACGTCAGGAGCGGGCAGGGAACAGACAAGAGGACAGCCAGGAGTGCGACAAGAGGACGAGGTCGCGGGAGGAGGCCTCAGCGAGGCGCATGGAGGGGTGATAGGTGTGAGGGAGGGCGAGACCTAGGGAACGAGGTCGAGAGGGGCCGAGTTTTACAGGAGAGAGCAGAGTGGTGTAAAAGTGTGGGCCGAGCACAGGCCTCTAATCCCAGCGCTGTGGGAAGCTGAGGCAGGAGGATCCAAAATTGAAGCTCAACCTGGGCAATTTAGGGAGACCGTAACTCAAAATTAAAAAGAAAAAAAAATTAAAGATTGGGATATAGCTCAGTGTGAAGGCACCCGGGGTATATCTGGGGCCAGGCTTGCTGAGGGCAGAGATAGCTGGGAAGAGGGCACACTGGTAGGTGTGGAAGACACTGACACTGGAGGCCTGGGAAGAAGCCAGTGGGTAAATGAAGGAGTGGGGTTAGAGCCCGGGGAGGCGAGGTTGCTAGGGAAGGAAGAGGGATGGTCAGGGAATGGCTGGAGTCACCAGGCAGGCGATGGAGGAGGCTGAGTCAGGAGAGATCAAGGTCATCGGAGGGGCAAAAGGGCGGTTAGTACCCTGTTGGCCGAGTCTG